TCTCAAACCAACATTAGTTTTTACCTTTGCCTGAACTTATGCCATTTCGCCTTACTCGTCAAATCTGTGATCTCATGGTCCCTTTGCGGGAGAGTGGCCAACTGCAGAGCACCATGGTTTTTACAATGCGAGCGTTGAGGAACAACCACGAAATCTTGCTTAATACGATGGATGTGTTCATAAAAGAACCATTACTGGATTGGCATGTTAGTAACAGAGTTATTAAAATAAATAGCAGGTTTACAAAGATAACTTTTGTCTTAATTGCTCTTCCTAGATGTCTAGTAAGGGTGACTCTTTTTTGGCCCAGTGTTACTACAGTTAGTTATGCTGGATAGCTCTATCAGTTCTAAACTGTTCTCCCTAGAGGTCCAGTAAGGATCATCTCTTATTGATCCAGTGTTACTACATGATGAAAGCTAAATTAAACTAAATTTATTTACACTGGATAGCTCTATTAGTTCTAAACTGTTCTCCCTAGAGGGTCTTTTAATCTTTCATGCATTCATTAAACATTTACAGAATTTTGCAAGAAAGCAAGCCGAAAAGCAGAAATTAAATCTTGGTAAGATTTCGTAAAAGTGGCACAAAATACTAGATTCTACAAAATCTTTGATTCTACAAAAATTTAAATAATGATTTCCTGTGAAAACGCATAGCTTTTTATATGGCTTAGTGAAATTGGAATTTTTGTGCCCAACAGACGATATGACAGACCAGGCGTGGTATCCAAAGGAGAAAATCAAGTCTGCAAAACGGAAATTGAAAGGAGATAATCCTGCAGAGATCATGAAGTAAGGACTTGCACTTTTTGTCGTAGAGTTTTCAGCCTGGGCGAGTTTCAGGCCGGTCTATTAGGATAAAATCTCATTGAAACACAACTAGCATGACTTACATGACTAGCCTGCGTGGCAGGCTCAGGCTGTTACATGACAGAAATATCAGCCCAAGATGAGTTTCAGCCCGGTTGAGCTACCGGGGCTGAAAATTTCATCCCGGTTGAACGGGCTGAAAATCGTCATGTAATCGACTGGAAATTGCAACCTGGGTTGAAGAAAAACATTTAACAACATTTAGAATTCTTCGAAGAAGCGGAATAATTCCATTTTGAGACTTGATCGTTTCAGTCCGGTTTGAACTGAAATTCTAACTCATCCCTGGCTGAAATTTGCCATGTAATCGTGAGAAAATTTCAGCTCGGTTAACCGGGCTGAAATTCGACCTGGGCTGAAAACTCCCCATGTAATCAACCCCTAAGACTGACAATGCACTCTGTAGTGCTACTAAAAAATCCTACAATACCTCTATTCGCAGGCTTGATCTAACATTAGGACACGAGAAAGCCGAGCATTATAAAGCGATGTTATCAGTTCTACTGGGAGACGAACAGTGCAATCAACGTGCAAAACCTTATGACGGTACTGTTGAAAATCAAGTTGCATGCCTGATTGATCAGGCTACTGACCCGAATCTTTTAGGGAGAACTTACCATGGTTGGGAGCCTTGGGTATGAGATTAGCATTTGTTAAATATCTCATCTGGCGTTTACACCAAAATAGTGCTGACCAAAGACTAAAGTAACAAAAAAGTCGTCCACGCAAGAAATAGTGCAATAGACCTTACCGATTATTCTCTTTTACCCAATGGCCTCGTTTTTGTGTCAAATACTTACTCATGTTTTGCACTCAGTAGGGTTGAAAATTACTTTGTTATTGAGCCTAAGAACAGCAAGATCAAATTCGTCCAGGAAAACATGGGAATAGAATCTTTATCTGCCCCTGACATGCTAAAATAAGTTAACTTGGAAACGAGGCCATTGGGTAAAAGAGAATAATCGGTAAGGTCTGTTAGAACAGTTTATCTAATTAGAACGATGAGAAAGTAGAAATGAACCAATTAGAACTGCTGATCTAATTAGAATGAAATTAGAACAATGCATCCAATTAGAATCCAGCAATTGGAATAGTTGGTCTATTTAGAATGGAATTAGAACAGCAAATCTAATTAAATTGGAACAATCGATCTAATTGGTTAATCTAATTAGAGCCAGGTTGTTAAAATAAATCAACATCTCATCGACTTCTGCCATACAGGGTCACCATATTCCAACACAATAGTAACAGATATGAAGATCTGAAAGTCACAAACAATACAAATTTTGTACATATTTTTTTCTACTTGAAATTTATTTACTCGTTTTGTTTCGTTTAAACTACAATACTCTAAAGTTATATAAAACTATAACTTTTGTTGTGCACACCTGTGTTGACAAAAGTGCATGCATTTATTTAACAAGTGTTAAAACATCATAATGTAATTACGTATAGAGGTGGTACAAAAATTTTGCTGCATGGTGATTCATTGTGGTTTGTGCATGAAATTAATATATTTTATTTTTCATGTGCAGTGCACTTTATATAATATGAACGTTCGAAAGCCGTTTTAATACTAAAATCCATATTAACTGTCTTATGTGCTATTTTAGAAAGTCCATTCGTTGCTCTACGACTAAATCTCACGTGTCAGTAGTACCTACCCTATTGTCTACCTGTTCGGATATAGTGTCGACAGAACTACACATTTTATCGTTTGCTTGCTGTTCCTCGGGGCTCAAATCAACAGCCTGATTGTATTCAGTCAAGTCACAATTGTCTACTTTTGGTTCTTCAGTTTGAATTTCAACTTTCAAATCTGCACTCTCATTCAGATTTTGTTGCTTTCTGGGGCTCAAACCATCGTTCTTTTGTTCAGAAGTGTCTATTGTTTGTTCTTCATGTTCATTTTCATCTTTCAAGTTTGTGTTTTCATTCATTTCGGGGCTTAAATCATCGCAATTTTGTCCATTCAACTCAGACGAGTCTACTTTTTGTTTTTCTTTTGACGTTTCATCTTGTAAACTTGTAGTTCCATTCTCTTGGTGTTCTTCGCAGTCAAATTCGTTACTCTCAACGCCGTTCTCGTGTTCTTCTTTCGAGTCAGAACTGTCTAGTTTTTGTTCTTCGTTTGGAATTTCATCTTTAAGATTTGAACTTCCATTCTCTTGGTGTTCTTTGAAGTTCAACTCGTTAGAATCAATTCCATCACTGGAAGGTTTATTGTCAGTCCCGTGGCCGTTCGTGTTCACTAAAACTCTTTCATCGCTATCTTGCTTTTCTGACACACCTGTGCTTTCTTGGCTAAAACGTTTCCCTTGTCTAGGCGGGTTCGAATACTTGCATGTGCTTGTCTCATGACAAGTGCACTCTATCTCCGGTAAGGTTGCGCTATCCCATGCACCGGGGCCCGATAACAACCCACGAAGGGTACAGGGTATTCCGGCTAGCCTCCTGAACTGGTACAGCAAGCTTCTGGCTTGTTTTAACACTCTATCACCGTCCATTTCCAGAGCCAGGTTGTTAAAATAGTTCAACATTTCATCGACTCTCATGGATTTCTGCCACACAAGGTCACCATATTCCAACACAATGGCAACAGATATGAAGATGTGAAAGAATTCTGTTTGGTAGTGCGACCAGCATGCCTCCCACATGCGCAACACGTGCAGGTCATGAAACTCTCGCTTGAAACCAAGCAGCAACCAGCGGTGACAGAATAATAAGTCCATGCCTTCATCTTCGAGTAACAGATGAGCGTAGAACTTTGCTGCCATCATACGTAGGAGTTCTTTCAAGTAAAGCTTAATTAAAGAGAACAGATTGGAAGTTAAGAATTAGGAAGTTAAGAATTAGGATAGGGAGCTCACCCAACCTGCAAACGGGCATACTCTGCCCTAGAACATTAGATAATCATTTACAGCCTGTGGAACAAGTAAAATTTTCTGGCATTACACAGTCTAAAAGACTATAAAGTCACATGCATTTGGGCACATTAAGTACTACTCATTTGGTCAATACATTAAGTTGCATTGTGCCTTAATGTGCCCTGTTTTGTTGTTATTTGGTTATTTTGCTCTGTCTAACACCAGATTACTTAATATTCTGTCTAATGCCAGATGATTTTACTCATCAAGGAGTGAGTGCAGCACTTCAATAACAAGGTTAATCAATGTAAATTATTGTGGTGACTTTTCATGCACAAGTCGATAAGTTTTAGTTCCTACCAGTTGGCAATCCATAGAATCATCCTTTGGTGAAGTGACAAACAGACTTCTCTCCATCAGCCCAACAAAACACCAAAATGCATCGACTTCATCTTGTACTGTGGACAATATGGAGGCAAGGAGGTCCGACATGCCTTGACTGTAGCCCATCTCTGGCTGGTAGTAGGCGTAATTCAGCAGAATTTGTCTGTCAAGGTATGGAAGAAGTGTCATGGAGTCTTATGGAGTATATCATATGCAAGAAGATATAATGAGATAATTAAAGAACAGTTCGGTGTTGAAGTTGACGTAAAATATATGGCCATTTATAACTGTGATATCAATACAATAAATATACAGTTGTATCAAGACAAAACTGTGGTTGGTGTTTTCTTGAGAAATTAACATAAAGGGAACGGCAAGAGTAATTACCTCATGATCTCAACATTTGGATTATCATTGCCCGCAAAATAAGGATGAGACCTGTCTGTCCTGACAACATCTTTATCAACAGTACATTGAACATTCAACCAAAACTTGTCATATTCTGCCTTGGGCATGTTCAACCTGTCAAAGGTAAGCAAATAATTCAAGCATAATAAAAATTTTGTACAACCAAGCAATGAATTTGTTCCAAATTGGCTGACTTTTTGGGGGCTAATTTGGTTTCCTTATTCTAGTAACACCAGAAGTCAGAACATAAGTGATGGCCCTCAAGAAAGAACAGTTTACAACTGATAGATAAAGGCATTCTGACTATAAAAAGGTTAGTATACTGTAGGTTTCCTCCTGTAATAGCACTGAACCACTAAATGATGGACCTTACTGGATGGCTAGGAAGAACA